GCAGGAATAAAAAATGAATAAACGAGAAGTAAAGAGAAGAGTAAGAGGCACACCGATTTTACCCTGGTTCACCACAACTTGTGGCTAATCCAGCCTCCCGAGAGACTCTCTCGAGCTACACTACTACCTCGTTAAGCTTAACGGTGCTTAACAAACCCGTACAACTTGAGAATTCGAGTCACACGAACCTCAACGAACCTTCGAAGGAAACAGCCCTTCCTTCGAACAACAAGAGAAATACCTTCTCTTGTCAAGTGTTTAAGAACACTAAAAACACTCAAGAACAATACTCTCTTTTAGAGTGGATAATGAGTAAACTAAGAACGCTCAAGAACACAACACAAGCTTCACAAAAAATGGCTCTCAAAAGCTATGAATAATTGAAGAATGATTTGCAATGAAAGAGTAGGAGTTGTGAAATAATGTGATGTGTAAAACAGACCCAAACACCCCATTTTATAGTAGAAAAATAGGCTCCAACGGACCAAAGTATTTAAGGGGTGATTGGCACAATTTGTGGGATTTGATGAAAATTGGATCTGTTGAAATTCACCTAGACAGCACTGTCCTAGGCTTGGACATCGCTGTTCTAGGCTTGCGTTTTGAAAAATGGGAAGCAACGGTCATGCCAACAGCGATGTCTAAAATCCCTACATCGCTGTTTTGGCTGTTGACTTCCAAACAAGGACAGTTTTAGCCTTAAATTCCTTCCAACGGTCAGGTCTCTACATCGATGTTCCATACTAGAACATCGCTGTTTAGGTCTGCCTTTGAAGATGGATGTTTGGCCTGACAGCGCTGTTTCTGGGTCAACATCGCTGTCCAAAAACTTTCTGCCAATGCACAATATCTTTGGCTTAGGTTGGACAGCGATGTAGGGAAGCCTACATCGCTGTTCTAGAAGATTCTGGAAATCCAACCTTGGCTCAACAGCGATGTCTAATGTCCAACATCGCTGTTGGACGACTTAACGCCAAACCATGTTTTTAGCTAACCAAGCCAGACAGCGCTGTTGGTTACCTCAACATCGCTGTTGGGCTGGTTTAGCCAGACCCATGGTTGGTTTAGTCACGCCGTTAGCCGATGTCAAAAACAAAGGTTCTCCAAAGTAAAAACCAAGTATTGAAAACATTTTTTATTGCATTTTGCTAAGAAATCAAGTAAAAAATTTTAAAAACCACGTCATTTAGTTGAAAACCACGACTAACCAAGTTCATGCTGTTTCGCATGGTTTTCACTAAACGACCAAAAACGGAAAGTGGTTTTTATGGCGTTTTTTGTTGGAGAACTATTTAAATGTGCCCAGAAGTAAAAACCAATCATTAAAAGTTGAAAACCACTTGGTCGGTTCGAACGCCAAAAACCAATGCCGATAACCGAAAGCCGAACGCTAGTTTCCGAAGACCGAACGCCGGATGGCTTGGTTTTTGGTTTGGGCGAACTCCAAGTGTTTTCAGGCAGGTTTAAGACTTAAGAAAATCATTTTGAGTATGCAAAAAATATTTTGATGAAATGAGCCTAGAGAGCCATGTTTTGACGGTTTGTGCCGGTCTTGATCACATTAAAACCGACTCAATATAATTCTAAGTCTTCGTTCTTGATTCTTGGTTCTTGGTTCTCAGTTCATCATGCCATGTTCCTTCGCCTTGGTTTTGCTCAGTTTAACCTTGTTATTGTCACGGCGGTTTGGCATTATCAAAACCTGTCATAAAACGAACACGGCTTAGTACGACATAGGCGTAAACCCGTGTTCCAACACATTGTCATCACTTTTCTATCACACCGTCAACGCGTATTCTTACATCACACTACCATTATACTTCTATTTTTGTTTTAAAAAACCTAGTACCCCTATTTTGCTATTTTCATATGTTTATACGTGAGATTTCTTATGTCTCTGAATCTATTTCATACTGAGAAATTTCCCGATTAGGGAGTCCTCATCAAAATCTATATATTTACTCCCTTCTCCCCAAAAAGTTCTTCCTGTTTCTGTTTACGACCGACTTTATTTTCAATTCAATTTATTTGATTGTAGGTGTAAAATTAAAAAAATAAAATTTATATATTTAAAAATTACATCAAAAGTTCTACAAAACAAGAGATGACAAGACTATTATTTTATCAAATAACTAACAAAAATAAGGTAAAAAAGTGATTAAAGTTTGACCCTGTGAATAGTCATTGGGGAAAACGTTTTAGGATGGAGGGAGTACTTCTTATCAATTTCATTTTCATATCATATTAATGCAAGTTTCTTTTAATTCTTGAGTAATGAATGATCAGCCAAACCACGCAAGCAAACCTCACATTTGACATCCATCTTTTATACGATAGTGTCTCACAGACACACAGATAAGTGTTGGATTTCAATGAGGAAGAACACTGCGAAGCAGTGTTAAACGAAGAACTCGATAGTATAATGAATCGCGTACGAAATGCTTTCATATCAAAGTTATTTCGGGGTATACGAAATATTTCAATCGGATAAGACGTTAATCAAGAACAAGCACTCGAAAAATCAGTCCTCAATCCATACCACGAGACTCTATTTTATAGAGTTGAAAATTTCTTGATCGGACATAAGCGTTTGCGTAGACATACGCGTACGTTCGCGCGGAGAATGTTGGTGATTTTAGTGTCATCAATTTATTTTGTGTAATTAGATTTACTTTGATCGAACAAGAATTTAAATAGACGTTGTCAAACGAGTTAGGAGGCGTGGAGTGCGTGCTCGTTCAACGATATTATAAATTCACTGCAGGGGTCCGGGGGCGGCAGCCCCCGGGATAGCGGGGGTCCGGGGGCGGCAGACCCCGGGTAGCGGGGTCCAAGGGGCGGCAGCCCCTGGCCGGGGTCCAAGGGACAGCTTGGAAATTTTTTATTTCGGACGTTGTTTCTTTAAGAAAATCCTTAAGATTTTCGTGACCGGAGTCCAAAATGGTAAAGGACTCGTACATAATGAATAAACGTCGAAATTAAGCCTTCAACCGCAGGAGACCTTTCGTACAAACTCGCACCTTTTTCTTCTTGCGCGAACGTACGCATACATCTACGCGAACGTTCATGTCCGATCTCAAGGATTTTCGACTCTATAAAATAGAGTCTCGTGGTATGGGTTGCGTGACAGATTCTCGAGTGCTTGTTCTGAATTAACGTCTTATCCGATTGAAGTATTTCGTATACCCCGAAATAACTTTGATCTGAAAGCGTTTCGTACGCGATTCGTTATTCTATCGAGTTCTTCGTTTAACACTGCTTCGCAGTGTTCTTCATAATCTAAATCCAACAGAGAAGAGGCGTGAGAAGTTCCTGTGGCTTTTGGAGTAAATTTCGACGTTCGCGCGGAGAAGAGGCGCGAGAAGTTCCTGCTGCCGCCCCTTGGACCCCGCTACCCGGGGGCTGCCGCCCCCGGACCCCTACAGTGAATTTGTAATATCGTTGAACGAGCGTGCACTCCGCGCCTCCTAACTCGTTTGACAACGTCTATTAAAATTCTTGTCCGATCTAAGTAAATCCAATTACATAAAATAAACCGATGACACTAAAATCACCAACAATAAGTACGCATAAAATTTATTGTCAGTAGGTGTCTGTAACACATCATGTTTGTCAAATGTGGTGTTCTTATAACTTTCTTAATGATGGGCTTTTATTGTTTATGAGACAGCATCTAGACACTATTTTTTACACTACTATTTTTTATAGACATTTGACAGTGTTTTCATGTTTGTACTTGTAAGAAAAATGGTGTCATGGTTAGGGTATCCCAAACATAACCCATATGGATATAGATATCCTTGAATTGAAAATTCCCAAAGTCTAATTGCTACCAACATATTTCTGAAGCATAACCTAATCTGCTCCTTTTATGTCATATTCACTCGCCGTGACAAACCGTTAAACTCAAAAACATAATGGGACGAATGACAAAGTTTAGCATTATCTTTTTTTTCATGCAGTAGACTCCGTTTAATTGATCGATGGATAGTTATCCTATAACATCTCCCAATCCCCTTCAAATGAACTTCTTGTGCTAAAGAAATATAACAATCTTTCTTGATCATAAGCTTGTATTTAAAATTTACATCATGAATGTATATGACCATATGACAATTCATATTGATACTTTAAGGCCCTGTTTGGTACATGAAATTCAAATTATGGAATTAAAATTGAGAATTTGAATTCCAATTCTTATGTTTGGTAGCACAAATATTATGCAGATTTGGAATTAATAGTGCAAAAAATGAATTGAAATTGGTGAATTCAATTCTATGGAATTGAATCCCATAGAATTTCAATTACAATTCCATCAATCATTCCTTTAAAATGAGATCAAATTTAGAAAGTGGATAGCCAAATCCAAACAGAAGGAATGTATATTTTGATCAGGTAATTTCTAGTATTCTGAACTATCAGGTCAATCAAGTTGGGCAACAAAAAAGACAAGCCATGTACTCTATCTCTGCTTCGTAAAAAGACACGGAGTATCACAATTGGCCCAATGTGGTTCTTAAAAAAATGCTAATTGTGTGATTGAGATTTATATATGCAAAAGGAGATATGGGTAAGAAAGCACACAATTCTTCCATTAAAAGTAAAATGGAATCTTATATTGGTTAGGACTGAAAAGTGAAAACAAAATGTGGTACTTTTTACCGGACAAAAAGGAGTATTAATAGTTAATTAGTATAGCACAACAACTCAATCTCCTGCGAGTTACAAACAAATGAGATACTCCCCCTTTGCACATCACAGATCAACAATCACCCTTGTCGGACCCTAAGCTCTGTCTGGAACGATAATGGCGAGCTGTTCGTTCACCCCCGCCCTTGACCATTTTTTTCGGTTCAGTTACTTGTTCATCTACCTCCATATCCCTTGCTTCGTCTTCAGGCATACCCCCTGAAGCAAAACTGACAGGCAAGCTTTTCCGGTTCATAGGCCTCTCCATTGATATCTCCTTGGCTACATCAGTCTCATTACGGATCATGGACATCAAACCTTGACCAGTTCTCTTCTTTGGATTGAATATGACAGGTTTTGAGATATCAGCAGGAACTTCTTCTGGCTCTGACGACTTGGGCCTTTTAAGCATGCTGATGAACTCCGTGTATGCTTGGCGATTAGACTCTTCATTCATATCAGTCCCTGAATCAAATGTGTAATGGGTGTACCTTGAAGGATTGCGCATATAATCTGGAACCCTTGAAGAATCCCGATGCTTAGAAGAGGATTCCTTGTGCAAAGTTATGTCTCCGTAAAACACCCCTGATATTATGGTTTTATCTCCTTCTGACTCACCACTAGCTTTGCAGCTTGGCTCAAACCGAACACGTTTTTCGGACCTCCAACCCATTTGATCCTCCTTTCGTTTCAAGATCGACTTTACATTATTTCCGTTCTCAGATATGCTATTTGGAGTGTCAGATACAACAACCTTTGCTTCCTTAGAAACATGCAAAGAATTAAAGCTTCTGGCAGCCTCCGCGTCTTCTTGAAGCCTGAGTTCCGCGCCCAAGTGGTTAGCACGTGGATCTCTAGAGGCTTCCTTAAAAGTGTTTAGAATTCCATCACAGGAATAAAAATCTGGCATATAATCATTGACATCCGACAAATACAGACGATCACCAGTTTTTTCCCTTCCAACAGCCACTTTATCATATGCATCCTCTTCTTCCTGAAATTTTGGTCAAAAGATAAGCTCTCAGCATAAGCATAACAACAAAAAGCTTGGCAGGGTTGAGAACTTGAGGATACTTCCAATAATATCACGCGCAGCACACATATACTACTGACTTGCAGAGCATGCATGCTTTGCTTCTCAATAGCAGTATCAGATACAATCTGTTCTGCATGGTATACTTAGGATAATATATGTAACTCCAATTGAAAGCAAGATAACAACCATAACAAACCCAGTTTGATCCCAACAACCTTAACCGTAGATGCATTGTTGCATCTACTTCCCAAACCTTTATTAAAGTAAGAAGGGAAGATTAATGTCATTTTGATTTAAACATTGTCAAAAATTACTCTTTTAGCTTCGTTGGGAATGGACGTAGAAATTAGAAAAGCAAGATAACATCTTAAATTTTAAGAGCACTTATACACCATTTGAAAAGAAGACCAGTACAGAAACAAATCTATTTATCCCATTCCACATGGAGTTTAGAGAGAGTACGGTGTACACAGTTTTACTGCTAAGTGCTAACCCAAATTAGATGGAGTATGACACTACACTAAGTCACTAACCACTTTTGACATTTTTCCACAAAACAAGTTGCCCAAACAACATCTATATTGGACTTGCTTTTAATTAGATCTGTAAATCAGGTAGGCAGGTCAGGTTGTTCCGAGTTCCAATTAAAAACCCCTAAACCCTAACCCTAAACATGTGGGTTTGGGTTGTGCTGAGAGCGCCTTTTTAATCACCTTAAAAATGACTGCTCTTTTTTTAACTTAAATATATAATTTGATCAATAGTAACACTATTACTCACAATAGCAGGTAAAATTAAAAATAAAATGAAGTATTCTTTTCCAGATTGAGCATTGAACTCATGCTTTTGAGAAACATATAATTTAAAACCATGTGTAGAATTGGTGGTCCCAAAGTGGTGAAATACAAAGTCTAGAGGGGGGGTGAATAGACTTTGTTACAAGTTTAAAATCTTTTTCGTTTCTTTTGAAAACGAGAAAATGAGTGTTAATCTAGAGTCCTTGTGAACTTTAGATTGTGTGCGGAATTTGGTGGGTGGAGTGAGCAGTAATTAATATGGATAGGTTAGTTTTCACAAGTAAGAATAAAGATAAGAGAGAGAGACACGCAAACTTTAACGAGGTTCGAAGGTGGGGTAATCCTTCTACGTCCTCAAAATCCACTATGTAGTTGGTTGTTGAATAATGAACCAACAGTTACACTCGTGTGAATTTCTGCACGGTATATCTTCACAAGACCAATGTTGCTACTGCACTCGTGCTGGCTTTGTTGTTCCTTCGAAGGTCAAGCTTCTTCAACAACTGCAAGATCCGAACAATAGGACTTGCAAGATCAACTTGTAAGAGAGTTGACCTACCCCCTTTTAATCAATAAGTTTGATCAAAAGTAATATCCTTCAACGTTGATCAAAAGTTGTATCCTTCAACGTGGTGTGGTACTTGAGGCAAGGAAACCTTCAAGTATTTACACTATAGCTCTTTGGAAGGAGGAGAAGTTTGCTTCTGGATAAGGAGTTTAGAAATCTCTCTTTATCAAGCTTTTTGGGCTAACTGTGAATGAGGTAGCTTTGTTGTGGTTGTTTATCTTATCGTTGTCGTTGTTTCTTCTCCAGTCTTCCAAGGATGCTATTTATAGCTGGATTGGATAATCTATCCGTTGAATCAAAATAGACTATCCGTTGCATTTGCTAGCTTCAATTTTGAATGAAGATTGTGATTTGAAGATTCCTCATTCGAATGGGTGTTTGGACATACCCAATTGTTTAAGGAGGGATTCTTTTTTCCACAGAATCCGTCTTCTACCTGTTGTTCAAGAATTCTGGACTGTAGCACTTTACTCTGTTTGTCTTCTAGTGCTTGTTTAGGAATTCTGGACAGGCTCTTCAATTTTTAGAGGTCCAGACTTTGTCTTCGAGTCATTTGTTCTTGAATCAGCATAATTATCTTCAATCTAGCCGTTGAAAATCAAGAGATTGATTTTTCCTTACCAACGTGTAGAATTTCTTCATTCAAGACTTAGATAATTTTCTAAGTCTTTTCTCACTTGTCCGCTTTTTGAGAATTCCGGTCTTTCTTGAGGCATCCGGTTCTTAGCTGACAAATCCAGAAGAGTCATACTCAGTCTTCCGGGTGAGAAAGAAATTCGTCTCCTTTGAGAAATCCTTACTTGTCTCTGACATTTCCGATCAAGATATCCAATTTCCAAATTACTGAATTTGATTAAGTATTCACGCATCAAACCGCTTAAAGAAATATCACAACTTTATTGGAAATCTCAAGAACTCGGTTTTAACAATATTTCTAAAAAGAAAAATTACATTGAATATTTGGGGAGACCTAAAGTCCCTATTACATTCTAAATACATCATCATCAAAATCTATAATATTTTTTCCAACAATTTCCCCCTTTTTGATGATGACAAACAAGTGTTTAAGAGTTCCGGTCGCTGTACTGAGAACTAATTTTATAACTTTCTTTTAGTTTCTCATAATATACAGCTTGTTAACAAAAACTCTTAAACAAATACAATTCAAATTACAATAATTTCTAAACCAAGTCCTGTCTTGAGATTTTGTGATATTTTCCACCATTAGCCGTTTTCAGCTTCAGCAGAACTTGCTTGGCAGAGCGGTTGGCGTTGCGTTTGATAGATCTTTAATATCCAAAGTGGATATTCAAGATCTTGGAAGCAACACATCTCTCAAAAAGCAAAAACAAGAACAAAAAAACGAAAAAAGAAAACAAAGGAAAAGGTAGAAAGACAAAAAGGTTTTGGAAAAGAGAATTGATTGTGAAAAAGATAAAATAAAGGTTTTTAAAGATGAAGGAAAAAAATTTGAAAAATGCTTGGGAGAAGGGAGCAGAGACTGCACAAAAAAAATAAAAAAAAGAGAGGGAGGGGAAAGAGATCAAGGTAAAAATAAAAAGAAAGATAGAGAGAGTGTTGTTCCAGAGAAGGTGTATGGTGTAATCCTGAAAAATACGAGATTTTCACCACAGACCTTCTCTACTGCCGAGATTCTCACCATAGACCTTGAAAGTCTTTTCTTCTCATTAGGCTTTCTCCATTGCCGTCTATGAGGGTGAGAAAGAAAAATTTCTCGATTGAGGATATTTTTCTTGGTGTGTTTCTCAGACAGTGAGTTTGAAGACTTTTCATATTGAAAGAGTTGTTGTGATAGGAATGGATTGGGATGTCTTGATTTAAATAAGAGAGGAGGTAGAGAGAGGGGAGGTTCACGGGTTCCACTACTTGGGTAGATGGAATGGTGAGAGGAAAAGAGTTTCAACTTCCAAGAAGTTGAAAAGTGGAAGGAATCTTTTACCAATTACCAAAGAATTGAAACTGTTCCAATTTGAAAATCAGTTTCGTTTGGTTTGAGAACCGTAACTGTTTTAGTTTGGCTAAGCCCAAAAGAGTGGCCCAAAAAGAAAAGAAAGCTATGTACTAAAGGGAAATTATTCCTATTGGGTTCTCAAGGCCCAAAATAAAACTATCATTTTTCATTCCCTATAGTTCTAATTTCTACTTAGGACGAGGTAGTACCAAAACAAATATGAATTTTATTTTTAAAAGAAAAGTGG